CAAAGTTTTTAGCCAGGTGAGAAATCCATAAGCAGGAGAGGCAGAAATGTGAGCGATGGTGAGACGCACACAGCTGATCTGTGATTCTGGACGGGACCTTTTAGCTTCGCAGCAGGACGGACCTCATTAACTCGTCTGGCTGAGAGGGGAAGCTGAGGGCTTCTGTACCGCAACAACGAAACAAGATACCAGTGATCTCATCCTCCTCTTCCCTTCATTCATCCCAAGCGCTCGTGAGTTGCCTTGGCAACTTGTGAGCTCCGTGTGTGTATGTGTGCATAGTGAACATTAGCGGGGGCCTGAGAAACCACTGAGTGAAAATTATGTGTCATCAGAGAGGATTAGGAGCCCACGGTTTAGTCGAGGGTTTGAGATCCTGCTGCTGTCGTGCTTGAGGGTTTTACTCAGTGTAAACGCAAGCATACGCTCTCATGAAGACTGTTAACCTGAGATGCAGTCGGCAAAGGCAGGCCAGCGACAAGGGGGCTGGAATTGATTTTCTTCCCGCAACAAATCTGTTAAAGATTCTCTGACAGAAAACGACCAAAAAGGACAAATTTATCGTCTCCAGATAGCGCGTGAAAGTATCGAAGGAACAGAATTTCAGGTTCAAAGCAGCTCTCTCCATTGCCATCCATTTTCCTTTCCACCTCTAAGTAAGCGAAGGATGTTTGTGTCTTAGCGTTTCCTGTCCTGTTTAGAATCAGTTCCTGTCTACATTACACGGATATGAGATGCAAAACAAGATCCTGAAAATGAAACTTGAATGTGACTCAGAAATTATCCATGTTGAAAAAACATCAAAGTGTTCTTTTGTCAATTCAATAAGCATAGAAGACAGAAACATGAGAGACAATGATGACTGTGAATGATCTGCAGCTCGGAGAAGCTTTGGAAAACTAAACCAGAAACTGGTACAGTTAAAAACATCTCCAGTAAGACTCGATTAATGAATTGTTTGGCTCATATAAAATCCCTGCTTTGGTTATGTGAGCATTAATTTGGCAGGGCCACCTTTCATTCATGTCCCAATTTTCTTATAAAGTCGGCTCGGCCTGTACTGCTCTGTTTAATACTGCTATGATACTTCTTGCCTTCTCTTTGATATACGGTACATAAGTCTTACTGTGAATTGACAACAGCTTTCATTAGTTACCTGGCCCCATTTGTGTAATCCATCAGAATCAAATAACTTGTGTTGAATGAAATCCTGACGGGAATGCTGTTTGACACAGACTGGCTGTAGCTTGTTTGATTTACTTCATTTTGGTGGCACATATTTGGTGTTTCATACACTTTGCTGCTTTAGTTTGTATTATTTCTTATACATTTTTATGATATAGGTTGATGGGTGTCAAAGACCTTTATTGGCAAATAAACCTATGTATCCAGTATATATGGTGTGGAGACTCCTTCTTCATAGCTTCTCAAACTCTGTGGCATTCTGGATTTTTGCTTTTTTTGTGTTCTAAGCTGATCAGTTTGTAGGCTTCTGCTCATCCTTTGCTCTTTAGGGATTGGTTATAGATCGTTAGTCCAATTTGGATCTCGGGGAGCTTCCTGGCCGTGTATCCAAATGTTAGTTGGATCATCTCTGAGCTACTTGCTGATTGCTTTTGCTTTGTAACATGGTGCTCCATCCTGCTGTAAAATGCACACAGTTTAAAGCTTGTCAAAGACTTGTTGTAAGGACCTTTTTAGTCTCACCATGACCGTACATCCTCAGAGATCAGTACAGAGCAACGCAGAGCATGCATATGACTTTAGGACTGACTATGATGTCTGGCTCTGGGAGCTCCTTCTCATTAACTGCATCGTATCTGTTTCCTGTTTGCTTGGCCTTCTTCTCTTATGTCTTTGTTTAGTCCTCTTGTTTTTGTAGTTTTATCTGCCTTATGTTTTTTTTTCCTCGTCACCTTTTCACACACAATCCACTGCTGTTCTCTCTGCTCTTTCCTTTCTGTTTCCACTCTCCCTTTTTTTTTTTTCTCCATGCTGCTGCTGTCTGTTAATAAGCCTCCCGGCATTGCTCTCTAACCTTACCGCAGGAAGTTTCCTGTGCTGAAACAGAGCCCACGCTGGATTGCTTCCTGGCAAAGTGCGTTGTGGGATGCGTGTATTTGGGCCCCCTTCTTCCGTCTTCTCCTCCCTTCTGCTCCCTTTGCTGCTTCCTCCTTTGGGCTCTGTGCAGATGGCTGAGGCCGGCAGACCGGATCTCGGAGGGGTTTTGGCAGAGCAGCACCTCTCTCCGGCCCTGGAGAGAGCATACCACAGCCATGACCTCGTGACCTTGGCTGCACTGCTGCCCGCCTCGGCTTCACTGCTCTCACAAGCCAGCCACGAGGGACAAACTTACAGCTGGTGTATGCAATGCGGATGGCAGTCTGCTTCATTATTGATACGAAGTCCATGACATAGTATTTTAGTGGATTCTAGCTCCATCTCTGCTATGTTATCCATTACTAACAGTAATTTACAGTGGGAAGATATGATAGCATTTTACATCAGCTTCAAAGGACGAAAGTGACATATTCATTGTCACACATACTTCAGGCAATAGGAAATGTAGCCTCGCTAAGATTTCTGCTGTGAGCCAAGAAGCGGCTCCTATGAAAAACGCAGAGACCAAGTAAGCAAGCATAAGAAATACAGTTTCTTTTCTGCCCACCACTAGCTCCTGTGTTGGTGAAACACCTGTATCCCATTCCCTGACACTTTCGTGGGATGCCCGTTGACAAGCTGAGGGTCAGAGCTTGACAGGCTGTGTGCAGTGCTTCAGATAACCTAGGGCTTCCCGGGCCTTATCTGAATACAGAGGTCTAGAAGGGAAGGCAAGAAATAGGAAGCTGACAATCTAGACAGGGTTTCATTTTATATTGATTGCTCTCTGTGAAAACTTCCTTTGTTTGACAGGCGGGGGGGAGCTAAAGTGGGGTGGGGGTGGCTGGCTGAAAGTGAGCACTAGGTTCCTATTACTTGTGTGACAATGACATTGGCGGCCCAAGATAACAGCTGTCCAACTCCCAGAGGAAGTGTTTGAGGCTGGGTGATAAGTGTGATGTAAGAAATGAGTAGTTCTGCTCTGTGTGGGTGTCGTGGATGTTCTGATCGGACAGTGTTGAAAGTCTGTGTTTGTGTGTTTCTATCCTTGTGAAAGAGAAGAGGCGATCCTGAGTCATACAGTAACTCATTGGGTTACACCAACAGTAGAAAATGATATGAGGTGGCAGGATCTGTGTCCACTGAAATAAATGTGGGTCAGTTTGTGTGCGTCCTGTTATGTGTCTTAAAAATAATCACAGAGGCTAAATCAGCCTCAGTACTCAGAAACTGGTGTTAATTTACTGTGATAACACTTGATCGAATCTCAATAACACAGCAAAGCATATTGGCATAAGCTACAAAACCTGTGTGTTGTTTGCCTATGTAGATTATATTTATGGGAATTTGGTCAATCGGTGTATTTTCTAGAAATATTTCTAATATCTCGAGTCTGGATTTTCCTAAGACTGTTAGAGGAACAGCTTCTAAAATAGTTTCTCATGCTTCAGCTGCAGTGGTTGGTAGTCGTTTAAGTTAAACTGATCCGCTTCTTAAGGGTGATGTCATGAGCCATTTCTGGGTCCAAATGCCCTTGAAGCAAACAAGCAAGGAATGGGCAGCGAGAGAATTTATGAGGCTTAGCGGTGGAAGTTAGCAGTACTGACAAACATTTGTAAAAGCATTAAGTAACCTATAACATGAAATAGTTCAATTTCAGTATATATTTGTTTTATCATTTCGCTAGCCAGCGTATTATCCTTACTTAGGTGGTTTAAAAAAAGCAAATTTCCATATAATTTAATTCTTACAGTAAAATTCAGACTTAATGAAAACATTTGAGCAAGAGGCGGTTTGCTTTTTAATTCAGTCTCTTCTTGAGCTTTTTGAAGATCGCTATGCTTTGAGTTAATGTATCATCCTTAGCTTTGAATTTAGCAATGGTAGTTTCTGCTTGTAGCTGGAAGCATACATCTGTATTGCATTCTAGGTAAGCGAAGTAAGTCCTACAACATCACAAACTACAGAAATATTCATCCTTTCTGTATAGTCTCACTTATATTTTCACCGGGATTCTTTGTTTAGCGATCTAAAGGCTAAGTTTCAACCACAAGAAAAGCTCCCAGCAGATGTTTAGCTCCAGTAAAGTTAGCGCTACCTCTGCAGCAGCTATGATGTTAAAAATCAAATAACTCTGTACGGCTTTCAAGTGAGGCCGAGCTTTCGGTCAGATATTTTACATTTTTGCAGTCTTCTCTCATCTTTCTTCATCGGTAAAGATGCAGATGTTTTCCTCCTCTTCCCCCAGCAGTGAAAGAAACATTTGCAAACGAGGAGGAAGAAAAACAGATACTGCCGTTCCTGTTTCGCCTGCTCTTTTCCCTCCATGTGCCCTTGTCCTTTTATACACAAACTAATAAACTGTCTGTCCTCTGATGCGCCTGTCTGGAGTTCGGAGAGCAAAGAGCAGGACAGATCAGAACAGATCAAATAAAATAAGTCTGACAGTCTTTCTGCTCTTCCCTTCCTACCTTTTTTCCCATCCCTGAGTCATTCTGTATTCTCCCCTTAACCTATCATCTTCTAATCTTTTATTCCAACCTCCTCTCCCTTTCTGATGGTCTCCTCCTTCATCTTTTTTTCTTTATCTCTACTGCCGTTCCCGTAATCACTCCCTCCTTTTGGCTTTTATCTCCACTTCCTCAATATCCTTTTTAGTGCCTCTGCCTCCTTCCTTCCTATCCCCCTCCTTCCCCTCCTCCTTTCCTCCCTAACCCTGTCTCCCCTTCCCCCCCTCCTTTCCTTCCTGCCTTTCCTACTTTCTTCCCCCCACCCTCACCACCACCAGCACCATCACCACCCACATCCTTATGCTGCTTCTTCACTGAACTCATCTTTGTTTTCTTCCGTCCATTTTATTTCTTCTTTACCTAATCCTTTCTTTTTCTTTCCACCTCCAGGTCTGCAGCCAGTCTTTTGGAGCAGGGACGACGTGGCCCAGTGGCTACGATGGGCTGAGAAGGAGTTTGCCCTGCGCCCGATCACCAGCGGTTCTTTCCAGATGAATGGCAAAGCCCTGCTGCTGCTTACCAAGGAGGACTTCCGCTACCGATCCCCTCCCTCTGGTACCTCTCTTTCTACACGCTTTTATTTCTTTTTTCCGTTTTGAGGTGCAGTCTAAGCTCGGAAAACTGGAAACATCAGTGAAATGTTTAACAAATGAGTCACTTAGATGGATTCCATTAGATATTTGTGTGCTCCAACTAGAGCAGGACTCACTCTGGAAACAGGGATTGGGAAGAAAGAGTGATCTTAGACGAAAAACATGAGACTATTTTGTTAGACAAAAATACTGACACAAAATAGGAAAAATGACTACAAACAAGCAGTCAATGAACATGCTGAAGTGTAGTTTTGCAGTGTTTGGCTCGACTGACCCTGGTTTGCCATTCAAACCGGCAGTAAAGATAATTGTATATGAAAAGTGATGCTACTGCATAGATCATTACATCCTTTTAAGAAAATCACCTAAGAGGACGCTTTGAGAGCACGTCCTCTGCCAAGGTCGATGCCCTATTTCACACAGTGAAGTAGAAGAGGGTTGTTCCACATCTCCTCCAGGTTTCACGAAATTCAGCCTGCTAGTTTTTGCGTAATCCTGGCGACAAACACGCAGACAAACAAAGCTCTCGTGTTGGCAGAGGAATAAAGTCAGCTGGAGCAGGGGATGAATGGTAGCAGGGCGAGGTGACAGTGGAGGGAGGCAGCTGTTACAGCAAAGCTGCTGAAGGGGGAGGAAGTAGGAGACGGTTGATCAGGAAGTACAAGGCAACCTCAACTGTCACCCCGGCAACGCCAGCGGCCAGGCGCATAAAAATAAAACAACAGTAAGTGTTTTCCCCTGACAGAGTTGGAGATTTTACTCAATCGCTCAAGGATGAAGTACGGGATGTGTGATTTGGGTCAGGATGATGAGCAGGCTTGCAATGCAAAAGATATTGTGGATAATATTTAAAGTAATTCGTTACATTAATAAATACTTAATCAGGTAATTTATGTGGACAAATATAAAAGATTCATTTATTAATTTTAATTTAGTTTGTTCTTTTTTGGGGATCTGTATATGAGTGGGTTTGGTCCACTCTGTATAAATTATATATTGATCAGCTGAGTCACGTCTAAATAAGCTGGTTTAAGTAACAGTTGCTCTGTTCAGAATATATACATCCCCCTTTTCCTTTTAAAGGATACTGAATGTTGTCAGTGGCTCTGGTTATAGAGGGATGAGAACCAGCTGACAGCTGCTGTCGGGCTCGTATCAGGATGTTTCAGCACTATGCAAAATGTTCACATCCTGTCGAGAAATCGAGGTCTGGGAAATACGTGGAAAATAAGATTCATCATCATTACAGGTTTTGCATTTTTTTTTTCTTCCTTTTCTTATGTGACGCTGTGATCGTGGTGTTGGATGGTTTCAGGAGCTACACACACACACACACACTGATCATATTTCTGTACAAGTGGTTGTTCAGTCGTGCTCTCACTGTAAACGTCAGTTTAGGGAACAGAGCACATTTTTTGGCTAGTGAAGTATCCATTTCCTCCTTCGCGTGACTATAAGGGTGCTGTTCCCATCAGTCCCTGCTCTCTGCGTATTTCTCTTTTGTAGACGCTCTAAGAATAGAACATTAAAATAATAGCCTGAGTTTTTTTTTCCTGGAATGTTAGAACCTGTTACGATTGCAGTGACATGTTTGGACTTGAAAACACCTATTGGGAAACCTGAAACAGTAAAGAGAGTTCTCCAGGATTCCAATGTAAGATGGCAAGACAGTTGGGCAATTTCTAGTTGGCTTTTTGGGATGATTTTGTTATTTTAATGGTTTAATGAACTTCCTTTTATGCAGTTTAAACCACAAATAGGCGATTTCCTCGCACATCTCTGCAGAAATATGTGCAATCACCAGTTGTAATGGTACCAAATGTCATCACGTACCCCTAACACTTTTTGCAGTTTCTTTAGTTTGCTGGTATTTGTCATTCATCGTGTACAGTTTGTAGTTTTCAGACAGAATCCAAAGCTGTGGTTTTAAAGCAGCATATTAAATACAGAATCAAAGCAAACACCAGGAAGCAGGAATTTTCCCCACGGTGTAAGTCGGTGCCACAGAACCAGAAAGTGAGAACTGAAAGGGGTGTGTGTGTGTGTTTGTTTGTGCATGTGTGTTCGCCATCACTTCCTTTATGAGAATCATTTCCTCGTTCTCAAAGCCTTTGAGATAGTGTGTGTGTGTGTGTGTGTGTGTGGAGGCAGTCCTCTGCTAGAATCACATCCACTGTACCTGTGCTCATTTGTTAACAGTGTAAATATTTTGGGAGCGGAGCTGTTGCCGTCGGTGTTCGGACAAGAAAAACAGCTGTAAATCATTCAGTGAACTTCCTGCTCGAGCTTTGTGCCTGGTGTCGCCACTGCAATATAACCACTTAAAGGAGGACACCGGGGTCGTATAGACTCATGGCTCATTTACGTTTGTCAACACATACGGTAGTTGTCGTTATCTCCTAGATGTCCTGACGCTTTAAGCACTGTAGGTATTTGGATTTGTCGAGCGCATTTTCTTGTTTAACAAATCCAAACTGCTCCCAGAGAGTTTCTCTTGTGAAACTAAATGTGCTTCTCATTTGACTAAGCTAATAATTGCATTGTAATGTTTTATCTGCACTGTGGAAGAAAAAATACTTCTGTAAGAGGAAACTGACTGGGTAGGGTCACCCGATAGGGAACTTACAATTCTATACCCTCTGGGTCATCGGGGTACGGTGTTGAATATCGAGGAAAACGTTTTTCTAGGAACAAACAAAGTGCTAGGCTGCTGTATCGTAGAAGCACCTCTCTAAATTTATTCCATTATTGCTCAAGTTCCACACTGCCTGGAAAGCAGAGAGGAGAAGAAGAAGTGGAACTTGAGTCTGTGATGCCAATGCTAATTTGGCCTATTATGCAGGGGTAAAACGGCTACCAGGAGACGCATGGTAACCTCTGACCTTTGCATCTCTGCAGGGGATGTCCTGTACGAGCTGCTGCAACATATCCTGAAGCAGAGGAAGTCTCATGTGTTTTATCCGTCTGCTTACTTCCCTGGGAACTCCTTCCATTCGCTGCCTGAAAGCGCTGTGCAGCACCTGAAGCTCGAAGGTCAGTCCAGTAAACACTCCCCCGCCCCCTGTTCATGCATACATCACATGCATTTGAAAAGTTAAAAAAAACCAAAACAATAATGCATTCTCATTACAGCAGCTTGTCTGCATTACCTTTTTTTTTTTTTTTTGCTAATAGTAAGCAAATTTATTTAGAGTGCGCTTAAATAACATAATTCCAATACGGAGCTGGTTGCTGCATTTTCAGCGTTTTATTGTATAAAGATGTCAGATGTTATGATAGATGGTGATGCTTGTGCCCAAACGGTCATGTGATATGAAAAATTTGAAAATATGATGGAATGCATAAATAACTAGCTGCAGAAATGTCCAATTAACTTAAAACAATTCATGCATGTACAATTTATGTACATGTTTTATATAAATAAATGATTTCCGAGCACCCTTACAGTCATTGTCAGTGTCACGAGTAGAAGTATAAACTCTTCTCCAATTCAGAGTTGTGGTGCGGCTGGACTATCCTGCTTGTCTGAGCGCTGGTGTGCGTTCTTGCCAGTCTGTAGCAGGTCTAACGCAGAGAGAATATTCATGCTCACCTGTGAAAAGTTTAGAATCACAGTCACTCTAACATGCATGTCTAATACCCAGAGAGAAACATAAATATAGTCATTCTTTTAGTGCCGATACTATTGACATTTACACCGTACAATAAATATGACAACTAATGTTTAAACTGTTCCCAAAAATTTCTGTCCCCTGTCAGACACTTTGTTTCATGTTTGGGTAATAACACAAAAACGTTGCGATCCACAGCAGCTACATTACCACTGTAGTTAATGCGAGCCCAATTTGTCACAACAGCATCTTAACAAACTCTTAACACAACTACAAGCTGAGATTTTTAAATGATGTTTATCCTGATAAAGGCTGAAATAATATATGTTAATGTAAAATTGTCTTTACACTACTTCGTAGACTTAGCTGCCACAATAAGAACGAATAGTTACAATGAAACTGTGATTGTAACTCATTTGTTTTGCTGTGATAACGAATCAAACATAAACTGAACTAACAGTTGTACTTTTCACATCTTCGTTGACACTGAGTAATCACTCTGTGTGGGCTGGATAGAGCAGATGAACTCTTAAACCAAGTAACTGAGATAAGACCTTCTTTAACAGCAACAACCACTTTCGAAGTTGCGAATGAAGCTGCTCATGAGAGTCAAACAAAGATCGTTGTGCCATTGTTTGACTTTTTAAGAAATAAAGTGCATATTATCTTAAAATAGTAACAGTTTGTTGGAAACAGCGCTGACATTATTATAAGTAATGCATCTTTGGCTCCATAATAAATCATATTTCTGTGTATCAGGCTACATAAACCCACGTCATTGGACCAATAACACAATTATTGCAAAAAGTTTTTTCCTTAAAAAGGCAACACTGTGAAACAGAGCAAAACAAGACTGGATCTGAATGAAAATATCTTAGAATTATTCTGCTACAGATTACGTCTGCCGTTGTCCTCTATGACGCACCGGCGCTTTTACTCGACACCCTGCTTTGTTGAAAACAAGGAAGTAATAATCATGTTCGAGTGGATACCTGAGACTGTTTTCTGGCTCTGATCTGAGGAAATGTGACACACCAACAATGAGATGGAGCCGTAACTTCAAATGTTGACAGTAAAACCTGCTCTACAAGGAAATGCAGCTTTATTTAAACAATACAGCACACCGAACGCTACAGGCAGCCTGCTTTCTGCAGCTGCCTTCCTTGTCTCAGGTTCCACCGCAGATATTTGAAAATCAGAGCAAAATTCAAAGAGCAACAGGAGTATGAGTTGTGGCAATTTTTTGCCCAAAATGCCTCAAAAATAAAAACACTAGGCATGCTCATCCAAAAAGTAGAATATTAGTGACACCTAGTGTTTTTGTTTTCGGACTTGTGTGACGCTCGTGATCAGCACCTTGTAGCTGGCTCGCTGTGGTGATAAATCACAGCAGCAGGAAACAAGTTAATGACTATAAAAATATGAAAAGAATTTCGTGCTTTGCAATCTAAACGTTCTCTTCATACTGCTGTTTGTTTCCGGTGAAAGCCAAGCTGGGCATGCACACGAACAGTAGCATCAGAACATTCACATTTTAATATAAGCCAATATCACGGCCCTTAAGTCAGTACAAGTTATGAAAGATTTTAATATCGATAGTGAGTTGAGACTCTGAGAGGGATGCTGTCGTCTTTGAGACCAGATTTAGTCCAAGTGTCACCTTCTGTGTTGTATGTCTCTCTGCTCAGTGACTGCTGGCCTCAAATAAAGAGCAGTGTTTAGTTTGGTGCTGGCACACCTGTAAGGTAAACACTGGGAGTTATATAAACCTGCTGGCTCCAGGGAAATGAAAGATTTGGTGTTGAGATTCAGATTCTTGATTGTTCTTCTTTGTGTAAATTAATCGAGCAACATGTAGAATATCCAAAATAGAATTTCCTGCCGTATGCTGATCAATTTCCAGCTTACGTTCTAGGAGACTGTTCTGGGTTTACACATTTATTACACTCTGTAAACTGTGCTCTCAGAAACGGTACGACGGGGACCACGTGGTACAGAACCCATCCCCCAGCATCCACCAACCATCGAACTGCGGCACCGCTCCCGCTCGCCGCACAACCCGGCCCCGCGACGATCTCCCACCGAGCCGAACCACCCTCGCCCCGCCAATGAGGACTCCCTGCAAACCTTCTCCCAGCTGCCCGACAGCAATCACCACCTGCCGGAGGAAATGTACCCGTTGTCGGTGTCCCCGGCTGCACCCAACGGGCGCTGCGCTACACCCAGAGAAGCCCCCTGTCCAGGCAGCCCTGGGGGCCAGGAGGCAGGCCCTCCTCGCGTTATCCAACTCATGCCCAGCGCCATCATGAACCCTTTGCTCCTCAGTCCAAGCAGGAGTGGCGGGGCTGCTGGCATGGACTTCAGGCACAACCGCGGGGGACCCCTGTCTCAGGTGACGCTGGAGAACGGCCGTGAGGGGAAAGTCCACGGACACCATCATCAGCTAGCCCAGCAGCACCAACAGCAGCATCAGCAGCAACAACAGCAGCAGTTACTACAGCAGCAGCAGGAGGAGGCGCTCTACAGGAACCACGTCATCATGCCCGTGTCTCCTCCAGAGGAGCAGCAGATGCCCATCGGGCGGATAGCAGGTAAGATTTAGCGGCGACGGAGCCGAGCATCAAAGCTGCGTGAGGCGGCATCTGTGGCAGAAACCTTGCATGAGAACTTTTTCAGAGAATCTGCTGATAGCGGCTCACTCTGTCTTTTCCCTGTTGGGTTCTGGCAGACTGCAGGCTGCTGTGGGACTACGTCTACCAGCTCCTTTCAGACAGCAGGTACGAGAACTACATCCGCTGGGAGGATCCGGAGAGCAAAGTCTTCCGCATCATGGACCCCAACGGCCTGGCCAGGCTCTGGGGGAATCACAAGGTACATACACACACGGGCTCTAGGTGTTCAGTGGTTATGTGCAGTGAATATAAAAGAGCAGCACAACAGAAGGGACTTCTTATCGTCATTCCTACAACCATAAAGCTGCACTAACTCATTTATTCTTATAAAACATCAGGACAGAGACTTGATTAATTAAGCACCTTAATCACTGAATAGTGAACTTTTGTTTTTTGGGGGTTTTTCCGACAATTTTGTCGACTTGTTTCAGTTTTATAGTCCTAACAAATGTTTCCTGGCACAACAGATGCTTCTTTTCATCACTCTGGTAGAAATGCTGATAGGATGTAAAGTTGAGTGAAATACAGCAGCTCAGTGTAAACACAGACACACTGATGGATTTAGTGTTTCATCTGTCTTAGCTGTAAGGACACTACCTGTGTGTTAGCCAGGCTTTGTGATGAATTAAATCGGTGATGTCAGTGTCAGTGATTCGGTCGAGTTATGCCATCGAGAGCCAATCTCTCCACGGTGTCCTGGATCTCATCTACGGTGTCCTCCTAGTAGGACATGTCTTAAACACCCCACCTGGAAGTGTTCAGGAACCACCTCAGCTGGCTCCCTTCGAAGGGGAGGAGTAGAGGAACTAGTCCGAGAAAGATCATTTCCTCTGTGATCTTCTTCCAGTCAGAGTGGCAGGAATGTAGCTCAACCTGTAACTCAACAACTTCCCTTTCGCGCTCAACTGTCTCTTCACCACAGTAAGTGATGCAGACGCAGCGCTAGAGTCGTGCAGCTTGTGCTTTTATGTGCTGAGTGAAAACACAACATTAGAAGAATAACACCGGTATTTGTGATAAAACACTACTTTAGTTTTGTTAATTTTGGCCAACAATTAAGATGAATTTGTGCTTTAGCTGTAGAGCGCCCCAGCTCTGCAGTGCAGGACAAGCTTTTAGCTAATGGAAGACCGGTTAGCAACACGTGTCTAAATGTTAGCTCCAAAGAGCAGGTGCCGTCGCACAAAGACGAACGCGGTGACTGAAAATGTTCCAAAAACATTTTGAGCTCTGACACTGAAACCACAACTACGTGAAGCGTCAAAGGTTTTGTGCATACAAAAAAGACCTTTTGATGGCTCGATTTTCTGGATGATGGGGATTCCAGTGCCCCTCAGGTGTATGTTGTTTGTTTGGCCTCTTGTTTGGTTGTGTATCTCCTACCTCCTCCTGCCTGCTGGTTGTGTAAATTAATAATTATTTGCTGAAACATTAAGCACGCTATACAGCAAACAGGATCTTGCTGTATAGTGGTCTTTTCAGCTTTTGTGGACTTTTACTGACACCAAGTGGCCAAAATAAATGTTGCTCTTAAATTAAGGTCAGGTCCCCTCACTGTCACACTGACAGCGTTGCTCATGACGCTCCTGCTGTTTTAACTCTTACAGAACAGGACCAATATGACGTACGAGAAGATGTCGCGAGCACTGAGACACTACTACAAACTGAACATTATCAGGAAAGAGCCTGGCCAAAGGCTTCTGTTCAGGTACATCATCTTCTTTTCAAACTTGTCTCGCTGCTCCAAACCGTTATTTACTTTTTGAGTCATCAATAAAACAAAAGAAAACTGGATTTTGAATAATTTGCCGAACTTGCCTCGTCTGTGCCACAGATTCATGAAAACCCCTGACGAGATAATGAACGGACAGACTGACAGGCTGGAGCACCTGGAGTCCGACACAGACGAACAAATCTACATCAAGGAGGAATGCTGAGGAATTCTGGGAAAGCGAGTCCATAAACTGCTTACTACTACTACTACTTCTACTATTACTACTACTACAGCCGCTGATGCCTTTCAGAAGCAGCTCGAAAAATCAACATTGAAATTAAAGCGTGCACAGGTGTTCAGTGGTGTCATTCCTACAGGGAGAGGCATGAAATGCAGTCTTTCCTAACATGGCCTTAGGATGATATTAACCTGGGGAAAAAAACAAAAAAAAAAAACAGCATCGGGTGTTTTCGGATCTTTCGGACGGACTGAACTGAAAGGTCTCTCTTTTAAGTGTTTCCTTCTCTTTCCGAGCTGCAAAAGCCAATCACTTTGTGCTTATGTCACTGTTTGATCGTTTTTGTCTCCTCACATGCATTATACAAAGGAATTTTGCTGTTTCTAAAAAACAAAAAGAAAAAAAAGAATGAAAGAAAGAAATTTGTGAGTGTGTGTGTGTGTGTGTGTGTGACCGGAATGTTTTCACCATGGAATAAACAACTTTTTGATCAGAGATGTGCTCTATGTGATTTCTCTCGGGGTGTGTTTGTAAGTGGAGTGCATCACATATCCACATGATGGCAGTAGTGGACAACTTTTGCTGGCGGAAGCCTCGGCATGTGGATGGATGTCTGCAGCAGATCAACACTTCAGTGAGTGGAACAAACGCCCGAAGGCTGTTTTCTGTGTTTTTAAGTGCACAAGGTTAAATAGGGGACGGACAGGTGGCACGTGCCTGAGAATCTCTAGCTTTTCATTGGCGTTATTGATGACCTGGCCCGGGTGTGTAGTAAGGAAAGCAACCAATCCCTGATTAGTCATCATTTATAGTTTCTGCTTCACTCCTTGAACTACTTTTGGATCACACTCTCACATTCTTCTCGCTTTCTGTCTCCTAACATATAATTGCAGCAGCTTTGAGCCTCGCCTTTATGAATTATGAAACACGCGTGTTGTGGGTTCCCCACATTTGTGTTATTGTTTTCAGCTTTAAAAATACCATTTTAAATGATCACCCATTCTTTGTGACGTTTACGTCAATAGCGGTAATCCGATTACTGTAACGCTACCAGCAGAGGTAGCGGATGCGCGCCGTGCGCTCTGGAGTCTCCATAAAAGTTAGTGCGCACGGAGCGGAGCTGTCAGACTGCGAGGAGACGCGGCTGAGCAAAGACTGTGGGCTGAAGTGACTAATGGGATCCACCTCACTCCATCTGAAGAGTGCGATCTGATATCACGGGTGATTATCACCCGTCTAATGCGCACAACAGGACCCATTTGAACCTAATAAGACAGCTGTGCAGGCTTTCGTCGGGTTTGTGGACTATCGGGATTAAAACAAAGGGTTTGGATTCAGGAGACCCACCTCTGTGGTGGATGAGGTGCCATCACCGCTCTTTTAAAAAGACGAATAATCGAAAGCAATAAGCCTGTTCGAGTTCATCCGGAGGGGCAAGACAAGCCACCACTCCCGTCTTTTTTTTTTTTTTGGTTTGTTTTTTTTCCCCCAGGACGCAAATGTCTCCAGAGCACAGGGACGTCACTGGATTGTAACACCAGCAGCCTCACCGATGGTTTAATAGGGCGTTAAAGTGCGGGAAGGGAGTGGGACAACTACAGGTAAGAGCCATGCAAGCGGTCATTCACGGCCCTGGGTGGGTGGCGGGAAGACTCGCCGATCAGCGCGTAAAAACCACTCAAGTGTCGCATTTGTCCAATCGAGCCTCTCCCCATTAAAAATAGTCATATTTGCATTGCCCCCCTAATAACCAGAAAATACATTTGGATCTATTTTTTGTTCTAATTGCAGTAACTCCTGAAAAAGAAAGTAGAAGAGTCGGGCTTTAGGAGGTGCAGTTTTCTCATTGCGAGTTTAGCGGCAGTGACTGACAATCAATTCGGTTAATTTCACTACCTCAAATCGATGCCGCCTCACTGGGAGTCCGGGATATACAGCAGTGTAGAGCAGGCAGAGGTGACAGTCTAGCTTCACTCAGTCAATAAACGGTAGTCTGCACTGGAGTCTGGAGCAGAGGATCCTGGACCTGGGGTCATGCTTGTGTGCTCTGATTTTAGTGCAAGTTAGAAACTTCGTATGTATATAAGACTACAGATGTGAGTGGACTCATTTTATCAGCTTGACCTCCTGTTCTGAGGCTAACGTGGTTTCACCAGAAGCAAATAAACCCTGTGATGATGAAATGGTGTGACAGTGGCTGGAGGTTCACATGGGCTCCCCGTCTGCTGCTGCCACTAGACGTGAGGTTTTCATTTCCAAAGTGAAACAGGAAGCAGCTAGAGGAATAAAACCTGATGAGATGGAGTCTAAGCACACACTGGCCTGATGTAAAAACAACTTTTAGGAGCACGTTTTTAAAAAATAATTATCAGACAGCTTCTTTAAACAGCAGAATTTCACCTGTTTTTGTGACTGTATTTCCAAAATCATGTCCCACAATCCAACTCACTTTTTTTTTATTGAAATGGTTTTAAAATGCTTCTAAAGGTTAAATAACTCCTCATGATGATCCAAGCTACCTTTAAATTAGTGTGGAGCCCTCTTTCAGTTGCTGTCTTCCTCGTCTTACCCTCCCCATCCCCTCGACCTTTATTTATGTCCGGGTAACTTGCCACTCCACCTCTCTCTCGACCTTTATCCAATTACAACGTTTAGCTTTAAAAACGCTACATGAAACAACGCTAAAGCTCCAGTTACTGTCAGCAGCTTCATGTTTCCATATCTAATACCAGCCACTCTTCACAATCCCTGCTGGATAGGATTAATAGATTAAAAAATAAGCTACAGATCCACATAAAAGTACACAAATCTAAGTAACTACATGCTCAAACGCATGAAACTGTTTTCAAATATAGCTGCGGCTACTTTTCATATTCCAGTTTAACATAAACACGATGACCTTTTGAGATCTTTTCTTTCTGATGTGACCTCTTGGAGAAAAACTGTTTGTTTTCCACGTGAAGAGAGACTTTTCCCTCCCTATCTGGAGGAGCGCTGCACCTAAGTTGGGAACCACTGATCTGAGCAAACACACAGTGTATGAAGTAGTTCAGTCTAAGTGGAACACGTAGAATAAATCTTCTGTCTCGTTTCCTTCCACTCGGAGCATTTGCTTGGAATGTTTTTATGTGAGTGTACTGAATAAAGGGTCAGACTCCCTCTTCCACCACTGCTGTGTCTCAGCACAGGGCTGGAGCAAACCACACTATGACATCATCTGGCAACTAATAGCGACTTCTTTTTTTTTTTTTTTAGCAGCCAAACTCTTCTTCCCCTCAGAAAAAGAACTGGCAGCCCCAGCAGTCCGCAATTAGCTGGAAGCATTAGCAGCAGCTCCTCCGGCGTGAACGATGAGCTTTAATGGCTCTGAGCTCGCCTGGCTCAGGTCAAACCGGGCCCCCTCCCTCGGTCCAGCTGGGCGAACTGGTGCCGGCTGCCTGGCCAGCACCGGCGGATCGGCCAATGTCACCTTTTAGGGGCAGGTCACACAACCTCGTCCTGGCTCTGCCTGGCCACTGATCCGAAGCAGTGACACTGAGGCTTCATGGTCCGCTGCTCCTCGCCAACCAGGCCGACCCAGCACTGCCGCCGAACAGCTGTGACGGGCAACACACAAGCATCAGCGGGAGGTGGGGGCTGTCTCTGAATTAGCCTGGAAACTTCTTTTTCTTTGGGGGTTTTAGTTAGAGAGTAAACAGGAACTGCACAAATCAAGTGCACCATGATGGAAGATGTCCTGATTTGAAGTCATACCAAAGTAATAAAATCCAAGCAGCACAAGATCCCTCGGGCCTCTTTCAGAGTGATGTGCTCCTGATTCATTCATTAAAATCATTTTTTTGACCCCATCCCTGCGAGGCGCGCTATTGACCACCCTGTTAGACTCTTTCCAATGACTAGTTCTATAAAATAAAATCTTTGTACAAGAGAAAGTCTTATCTCAGAGACTCTTTTGAATGTCTTGGATGACACCTGTATGCAAACTGCTCTGGGATTTATTTTTTTTAAATCCACCTCATCTCTCAAATGAAAGACCTCAGAGGAGGTCAGGTGCTCTGCTGCGGCTCCTTGATATGCGACTTTGCGCTCTCCTCAACAGAAAATGATTGAAATTTGTGTAAAATATCGGCAGCTGATTGGCACCCGCTGTGCGGTTGTTTGATGTAAGTAGGAAGCGAGAGGCTTTTTCTCTCCCCCCTCCTCACTCCCTTTCTCATTCTATTTGATGTGCAGCTCTCTCTCCTCTCTCTCTGTTTCATCTGAACTAAAACAAATTCACCAGCCGCTGAATAAACAGGAGCTCTGCAGAAATGATATGAAAGCAGCTAAAGGTTCCGATATATTTCCTGCTCTGACCTCGGTCTTCTCCTTCTGATTAGATTCTTTTCTCACTTTGCTTCTTCCACATGCCTTTATTTCCCACATTTCCTTTCACGAGTTTGAAGATTCAGTGCTGGTTCAAAGCCTTCAGCGTAAATGTTAATTACACAGATTTGTCAGTGTTTTTTTTTTGTGTTTCTGAACAACAAGCATTCATTGGATGTTCACTGTGTTATAGAGTAGGAAGCTGGCTCAGTGTATGGTGACGAAGATCCATCTTGATCAGGTAGTAGCGTATAAGAAAAGTGATTCATTACCAGGAGCCGATCCCAGCTGAAATCCACCCTGAACAGGCTGCCTGTCAATCACGGGGCTGATTGATAGGCAGCCTAACCCGGATGCCTGACTGTAAGAGGAAAATCCACACATGTGCACTCCAAAAAAAAATTGCCACAACTGGTTTAAACGGTTTAAAACCTCACTCTCATGCTGCCATGTTTTACAGTGAAAATAAGGCAAAAAAGTTCAGCTTCTTGTGGGAAAGCATAAAGTAGAAAATGATAAATAGACAACATTTTATGTAATGAAGGCAGTGACTGAATTTAACCATTTAAAGAAACGCCTATACTCTTCTGTAACAACAACGGGCAATGTACTGTCACATTTTCCTCTTTTGTTATTTTATTTATTACAGTGTTGTCCATCCTTACTCTACTGCTGTGAGCATATTAACTGAGTGAGCTTATTAATTACTATGCATTTTAAAATGGCTCTATTTGTGTTCATCACACCTGTATTGTTTCCTATATCTATGACATACATTTTGAAATGTCCTACTGGAATGAATCATTTTTTTCCTTTTCATGTAATAACATTAACCTGCTGCCAACTGGGCTGTTTTCCCCATCTGGGCTTCAAGTATCCGCCTAAAGGCTTCTGCAGCTGTAAACCTTACAACCATTACAGGAACATAAAAAATGATTTTGGGTCTGGTATGTGATTCACTGCAAAGCATTACAATGTAGTGATAAGCAGTGGGAAACTACACACCAGTGGAGCAATTTCTGTTAAAAACTATGGAAAGTTGTAAGAAAAGATGGATAAAATTTATGATAGGAGACTTTCTTACAATTAAAATCACAGAGGCACATATAAATATACAACTGGAGGTCATA